GGGGGGGCACCGCTATCAATAACATGCTGTAGTTTCAACCTTATTGGTCACTAGGAGATGTCCAAACCTTAATTCAAAAGTTAGAGAGATAGCAGAAACAGAGCAGCAACAACTATCAGTCTTGCAGTCACCCACAATTGGAAACACTAGCAGGAGCATGTCTCATAGAGTTGAGAAAATTGGTTCGGATAAGGCGGGGCTACCTTAAGTGAGAAGAAGCCCAAGAAAAGTAGCACACTTACTACATTTTCTGCCCGAAAATGCTTTAGATTTTATTGATTTTGGCACATCGCCTCCAACTGCTCGGCAAGTCGACTCGTGTCTTTTATCGAGTAGGGCGTTGTTGAGGAGGTTAGCGGCGAGGAGAGTAAGCTGCATCATCTTCCATAGAGTAAGGGCGAGATGCACGTGGTTTAATGGATCATACAGATTGATGGTACGAGAGATCCGTAGTGGTTTCACAACAAAACATTCTACAATTGTTGCACTCATCATCAATGGAGGGTGCAGCAAGAACTTGGCACATAAGCAGGTGGCATAGCAATTGAACTTCATGAATCAGAAGCATTCCCAGCCGTATTCTCTAGTGTGGTTGAAGGAGAACACATTTAGCTTTGACAGGAGGTGTATAGTAGGGTTTCGAATGGAAGTCAATTGCAAGATCACGTGTGGTGCAACGTGGTAGCCATGGATGTCTGCCACCTATCGTTGGAGAGACCGTGACAATTCAATCGTAAGACATACCGCGATGGGTTCAGGAATACTTATTCGTTCATTAAGGAGGGGAAACATCGTCCTTGTTTTTTCTACGGAATTCGAGATCACAGGTGCTCTTGTCAGCAGAGAAGCATCAATGGGAACAGTTTTGGTGACGATAAAGGATGATAAGACTGAGACGTTGATTCCAGACATGAGGCAGTCATGACAGAGAGCATTCCAGGATCACACGATCAATATCTTTCCAATGTGGCCACCACAGTTTGGGGAGGCTTGGGTTACCCTAACTTCAAGTCAGGTTGAGTCGACCTTGGAGTTTTTTGGGTGATAGTGCAATCAGTAGTGGGATCTAGATGCTGCTAGGACTGTAGGAGAAGAACTAGAATCTTCAACGAATGAAGTCGAAACTCCCCCAACCTTGAGAGACAGATGCGGTGGCTAGTTCGAAACTGGCCAATGGTTCAACAAGGGAGATGTCGGCTCAACAGGGAGGCTGAATTGGCTAACCCTAATTAGGGTTGAGAGTTGATGTTGCCTCTTTCTCCCTCATAGTTATCTACTATATTTGTTATGTTATTTCCATCAGGGCTTAGTTTTTGTTGTGATTTCTATTTGGATAGCCTCCGACGTCCCCCATTTTCCCTTATAGGTTTATATCCGACGACGAAACGTGCTTCAGCTGTAACTCGTCCCAAGGTGGTGTTTATGTTTCCTTTCCTACTTGCTTCAATCTTTCCTGCACTCTCATCCACCTAGTTTCCTGGCGCCATTATCACCTAACTCCCCTGCACCTTCCCTGCTTGCAACTGCAACTCCCAGGGACTCCTTGGTTGTCGCCTAACTCTCCCGCACCTTATTGGCTTACCCTATGTCTCACTTCCAGCCACAACCTTCACCACAGCACCCTGCTCTTAGCCTTTTCCCCTCTAGCCGCAAACTCCCAACCACCGTCGATTCTCAGCCTTTCTCCCTTCAACTGACCCCTATCTTCCCTTGCCTCTTATCCTATTCCCCCCTACCTTCAATCCAGGTCTTCCTTCTCACCTGATCGCCCCCTTTTTGCATCGACCTGCTTATTCTGGCAACTTCCTACACCACTTCCACTTGTCATCCATTGCCCTATGCCACCGTGCTGTCTTGCTTCACCCTAGTGAGATATTTGTGTTGTGTTGTGCTTTCTTTTGATTTTGAGGTTGTGTTTGTAATTTTAGTGCTTTTGCATAATAAAAATATGATTCCTTATTTCTAGGTTAACTTCGATATCACATGTCTATTCCACCATCCTCTTCTCATATTCTCGAGTCTGTTGAAGGTCACTTTATGGCCCCAAACAATCATCAAGGGCTTGGTTTGATAAGTTTGCCATGACTATGAAATCGAATGGGTATACCCAATGCCAAGCGAATCATAAACTTTTCATAAAACATACCCAAGGAGGTAAGAAGGCTATAGAAATTGTATATGTTGATGATACAATCCTAATAGGTGATGATGGAAAAGAGATTGGGAAGATTAATGAGTGTCTTGCAGCTGAGTTTGGAATAATGATATGGGAGCAATGAGATATTTTTTAGTCATGGAAGTGGTCAGATCCAAGATAGGTGTTGTGTTATCCCACAAAAAGTGATTTCTAGACCTACTAAAAGTTACATGAATGGTTGGGTGCAAATCTGTTGAGTTTTCTATGGATTTCAACTGAAAATTACATTCAGGGGGTGAAAAGACATCAGTGGAAAATTGTTGATACCATAGATTGGTGGGTAGGCATATCTTCTTATCACAGACTATATTGGATATTGCTTGCTTTTTTGGCATTGTGAGTCAATATATGAAGAGTTCGAATGAAAAATATTTGGAGATGATTTACAAAATATCGATGTTCCTTAAGAAAATCCATGACAGAGGGTTATTGTTTGAAAAGTCAGACAACAAAGATAAAGAGGTTTTCACTGATGCTAGTTGGGTAGGAGAACTCACTGACAGAAGGTCCACTCGGTATTGTTCATATGTCTGGGAAAATCTTGTCATTAGAGAAGCAAGAAACAAGCAGTGGTCTCTAGAAGTAGTGCATTATTTGTGTATGAGGCAATTGCTTTGGGAATTTGTAAAGGAATGTGGATCCAAAGGTTATTATTAAATGAGTTGGGATATTCTATTGTCAATCCCATAAAATTGTTTTGTGACAACTAATCTGCAATTAGCATTGCAAAGGACTCTGTGCATCATGACAAGACCAAACACATTGATATTGATACATATTTTATATGTGAAAAGGTCAATGGAGTCAATGTTCACTTAATCTACATTTGATCTCATTATCAAGGTGTTGATGTCTTCACTAAATCTCTACTTCCAACAACTTGTGGAATTTTGAGTTTCCTTTTTTTGTTACATTTCTTTCTTTTTTGTTTTATGTTATTTGGTAAGTTTTAATTGTTTTAATTGATCTTGCCCTAGTTATTCCCTATTTTATAAGGCGTAGAGTTATAATCTGATGATTAAGAAGTAAGAGAATAAAATTTTCTGCACCTTCTCTCTCTCAGTGCATATATGGTTTTTTGTTTTTTTTAAAAAAGATTGGTATACGTCATTCCCTTCTTTTGGAAATTTTGCTGTATCTTATGCTGTCCTAAATCTCCAATATCATTATATTCGTACATTTGAATTTTTGGTTTATTGCAGGCTTATTTGTTATTTGGAGATGAGGAGTACTTGTTTATGTTCCAGGAAGCTTACAAGGCTGCTATGCATTATCTGTTTCACGATCCTTGGTAAAAAATTCTCTTATATTTATCTTTGAAAGTCCTTTTACATATTCATTTGTAGTTTTCATTTTATTTTCCGAATTTTAAAGTCTATGAAATGCCTTTTAGGTATGTAGAAGTGAATATGAATTCTGCTGCCACTGTTTGGCCATTGTTTAACAGCTTGCAGGCTTTCTGGCCCGGGCTTCAGGTTTTATTCTTTAAATTTCTAAAAATCACGTACTTTTTTGTGACGGAAATATTCATTATCTTGTTGTCTTTTTAAGGTTTTGTATGGCGATATTGCTCCTGCAATACGGACGCATGCTGCTTTCTTTAGCGTGTGGAAGAAATATGGTTTTACTCCAGAGGGATTCAATCTTGCATCATTGAGTATTCAGGTACTTATTTTTAACACCGTTTCATTTATAAATTTAGAAAGTAGTTTGGTTTACCTTGTTTGACATTAAAATAATAAAGGGGCATTTACGTATATAACCACACAATGATACCACACAATGCTTATGTATTTACATATCTAACACCTAAATATTCATATTTACATGCATACCATTCAAATTTTTAACATCACATAAAAAACACCACCATCACTACTTTTAAAAGTGAAATTCATCTTTTAATGCATGGGTTTATGACACTAACGTGTTTTAAGTGTAAATATCAAAGTTGGGTGTTAGATGTGTAAACATGTAAGAATTGTGTTGTGTATGTATTGTCGGCCGTTATTTTTGAGAAGGAATGATTTTTGTAAATATGAAAATAATTTTAATACAAATATGATTTTTGAAAGCAATATTTGAATTTAAAAATAGATGAGACCAAACGAGTCTCACATATTGAATAGTTTGAATGGATGAGCGCGGTACCACAAATAATACACTATCCCGAAGGATAAACATATCACTTGGAAGTAGGCTCAATCACCTGAACTAAGAAGTTTTTGACATCCGTTTGGTCTGCAAAACCTTTTATGTATGATGGGCAAGCCCCCTACCTAATATAAGGATTAGATAAGGTTTATTTTATCTGGGTTCCAAGTTCCCTATAGAGGCAAACCCCTATAGTTAGTTACATCTTAAATGACCGGGGTCACTTAAGAAAACTCTCGATTAAGATCAGTGGTTTTACCTTCCAGATTTAAAAGTTTAGGCTTCTATGATTGGACATGAGAAAACCAAATGGGAGTGGCTCAAATAGGAACAATTATTTTAAGGAATCCAAAGGAATGGAGAGTAGAGGATATCATAGATCCAGAGGAAATTTTGTTGATTTTCCAACTATCCTATTTTTTGGCTCTATGTCTTTGAAGTGATGTTATTCAATGTTTAATCCTGCAATTTATTTTAGAATTTAGGACTTATGTTCGCAATATATCTGATTGTGCAAATAACCTAAAAAGATAGGAAAATTTATATCGTACTGTACAATAACCTCAGAATCCTAAAGTGTTAGGACTTATAATTGTATAATAGGGTTGTGCGAAAGCCTAAAGATGATATGTGAGGGTTTATGCTGCGCTAGGCAAACCACCTTGAAATCCTATGGATTGTTATTTAAACTAAGGAAAGTGATTAATGATGTGAATTTGTTTTGACGTTGCTCTTTTGAGTGTTCTCACCGTGCTGCCGATAGTGTTTGCTCCAAGCTCCCCATCGTAGCACCTTCGAGTTTGATATTTTTTTTAAAGGGTACATGTAATCATTAGGTTTTTCTACACTAAGGTATAGTGTGTAACAGAACGATAAAACATGCAGTAGAACAAGAAAAAAACAGTAGAATGTACGACATAGAAGAGAATGAACAGTACAGTGTGCAGTGAAATAAAATGCTGTAATGTAAATCAAACCTGTATATCTGGGAGGCTTGCTGCTCCTTTAAGCGAGCTAGTATACACTGTATAAACAAAATTAACATTGCCTGGAAAACTCGAGAAAATCGACAAATGACCCACGACGGAAAACTCGAGAATAATCGACAAATGACAATTCCAAGAAAATTATCAAAATCTCGGGAAGATCCCGGAAAAAGGATCATGAGTGTTTTTCCAAAAAAAAAATCGAATAAAACATACGAAAAATCCGAAAAGAGGGGACCACAAACACTCGGGTCGGGGCTAGGCTCAAATATAATATATTTGTACTCGAAAGACGTCGAGACTACTATCAGTCACCCACTCAACTAGAAGGGTGTCCTACTAAATTAGGAGGGTATTCCTTAGCCTGATATCGGTAATCAACAAGTGGACAAATAAGTTGTAACACATTTAAAATTTATATTTTAGCATGCACATGGATTTCAGACATACAAAAAGGAAGTTGTATCAATTTTGTAGTAAAAATATTTTTTATAAATATTGTATATGTTCTTATCATGTTATGTTTGTCCACGAGTCGATCACGCAGTCGGGCGTAGGACCACCAACAATCTAAGAATGTACGGGTCCCCTGCTAGTCTTGTGTCAGTGAATGATACTATCATCCTACAGTTTATCAGGTCCCAGGATTGGGTCCTGATGTCGTAGGATGAAATATCATATCGCTGTACCACCGGCATGCCTTTGTCCTTAATCCGGTATGTGTAATCATCAAGTGGACAACCAAGTTGTAACATATTTAAAATTTAAAATTTATATTTTAGTTATATTTTAGCATGTACATGGATTTCAGGCATACAAAAAGGAAGTATCAATTTTGTAGTAAAAATATTTTTTATAAATATTGTATCTGTTCTTATCATGTTATGTTCTTATCAGTTTCGAAAAGTTATGATTGTCCACGAGTCGATCACGCTGTCGGGCGTAGGACCGCCAACCCCGCCAACACCCTAAGAAGGTACGAGTCCCCCGCTAGTCTTGTGTCGGTGGATGATACTATCATCCTACAGTTTATCAGGTCCCGGGATTGGGTCCTGATGTCGTAGGATGAAATATCATTCCGCTCTACCACCGGTCTATTTACGACCTTACTTGATGGTTTTATATGTAGCAAAAGTCTATGTATGGGCACTTATGTGTTATACATAAGCACCGAAAACTAAATCAAGAAGCAAGGAAAAAAAAAATAAAAATGGGGATGAGGGAGAGGAGGAACTGATCCACCCAAAAGATCGAAAGGATGAAGGGTGAATCAACCCTCAAAACTGTGACGAAAAGATCTGAAAAAGAGAACCCAAGACCCTTGAATCAATCCAAGAAGGATATCATTTTCTCAAATTTTATAAATGGATCAACCCAAAATGGGTATCATTTCCAAATGTTGTTTCGAATAGGTCGGAACGGGCCCAAATTAATGTGACAATTGTATAAACAACTCCACCACTGTCTACATATTCACACACCCAAGCCTGAACTCAAATATGACATTATATTATCCAAATTTTAATGTCGAACCTCCAAACTCTTCCCAAATGACAATCTCATGAATTTTTCGAATCTTTCATGAATTCGATTCATATCAACTTTATGATTTCCCGAAATAAAGTTGTAAAGGCCTTCAAATTTCTCAAATCAAGCAAATCCACTAACAACAACTATCGAAATTCCCAAAATCTTGGAGACACTAAAGCCATCCAACTCCAACTCCAACCAAAAGCTTTCCCTATCATATAAGTACGGAATCATCCAAATAAAACCAAATAAGTGCTCAAGGCCACGGGCAACTGAGAGGGACAACCAAGAGGGACGACCAAGCCCCAAAATAAACCCTAAACAAGAAAGAGAACAACCCAACCCCAAAACAAGCTCACGGACAGGGACAGCAAAGGCAACAACCAACATCACCGCCTTAAGCTCACGGTTAGGGACAAGAAAAAGAACAACCCAACCCAAAAACAAGCTCACGGCTAGGGACAACAAAGGCAGCAACCAACATCACCGCCTTAAGCTCACGACTATGGGGCACGACATCACCCTCCAATTTGCCATATAAAGAAATGACAAGATAAGGCTCACGACTATGGGATAGTAAAGAAAAGCCACCACAGATATTGCCATTGTACTTCTTTGATATACATAAGAGAGTGAATTGACAAACTCCCATAAACTAACTAAACTGAAGCCATTTTATTGAGCAAGGCATGATAGCGAATTGATCCATTTATATCCATATAGAAGTAGATATTGAAATCATAAACTTTGGGATGACAAACTTGATTATTAATGACAATCCCAGGAGGTACGCTATTTGGAAGATCTCCAACCTAGCCGAGCCCAACAAAAGGGGCAAACAAAGTGACAACTTAAGCAAGCCGAACCCAACAAGAAAGACAAAACAAGGAGCCGTAAAAAGTAAACCGAGCTCAGCAAGAAGGGTAAGACAGGGAACCATAACAGGCACACCCGAGCCCAACAAGGACAACAGAAATAGTATTCCAACCAAGATGACATCCAACAGATGAAATAAAATGAAACACAATTTCAGCTCAAATAAACCCCTAAAAAGGGACCAACGACAGGTAAACCTCCGAGCCAAATTGAGCCCAGATTTCAGACCAAATCGAGTCCAATTAAATGGGAAAACTGAGAATAGCATTTTTCAATCAAAATCCAGCCCAGAAATAGCTAAAACAGTACCCAATACATGGGAAAAATCAGAGAAGAATTTCTAACAATAATCCATCTCCAAAGAGCTAAAACTGAACCCAACAAATGGGCCAAAATAGATAAAAATGTTTCCAGCAAGGATCCAACTCCAAAGAGCTAAAACCGAACCCAACAAATTTGTCATAACAGATAAAAATATTTCCCTTGGAGCCTTATATTTTAAAGTATTGTATCCAGCATATCTTTCGAATAGAAACAAATAACAAGAATCATATAAGTATGCATGAATCCCTAAAGCCAACATGTCTCAGCATTGAAATGAATTTCAGCATTTAATTGAACAAGAATATCAATAATAAAAAGCTTCAACATTTCATTTTTACCATATATTCCATAGAGAAATAACTAAAGCTTTCCAAAAATTTATCCATCATACATCTTGAGCAGAGAAAGAGAAGGCAACCATATCATGCTTTATCCTACTAATTCCAGGAATTATTCATGATTGAAACTTAACCATATAAAACACAAGTTATTTCATCGTTGAAATAATCAAGCTATGCTAAGGCAATTTCAAGTGATGCAGATTAGAGAGATTACTCACATCACTAGGCAAGAAGTAATTCGAGCAAGATTGGCTAAATACCCATTCATAGATTATGAACCGTAAATAACAAAGATTGCTTAGAGACCAAAGCATTCAAGTGAAATTTATAGTAAGTTCAAATATCAAAGATGTTTCAAAAATTTAATAGCCTTAGAAATCTCTTCTTTTTTTTTTAGTCAAGAGAACCATTAAGCCCAAATCAAGGACAACCGGGTAAGGAAACGAGCCATAAAAATGAGTAATCCTCAGGAGTATCAAACAAACAAGCCAGGATATTGCAAACCTGCTAGAGTGTCGCACAACCAAGCAAGAATATTGGTCGGTCAAGCAAGAAAACAAGCAAACCAGCAAGAATATGATACCTCAGTAGCCAAATATGTAATCACATAGGATTATCGAGCCACCAAGCAAGAATACCGAGCAACCAGACAAGAATACCAAGCAAACAAGTTGCACCAGTAAACCAAAAATCCGGCAGCACCTCTCAAAAAAAAAAATTTTTTTTTTCAACAACCAAAATCCTTCCTTCAGTTAGGATTTTATAGGCAGAGGGGAGAAGAGCAGCCACCTATCAGCCTCACTGGTGATCGAATCAGTTAAAGGGAGAGGAGAAATGCATTTAGGGCGGAAAAAATACAATCTCGAGAAAAAGAAGGGTCGGACACGAGGCGGACACCAACTGGCGAGCCGCTCCAATGTGCGGAGCTCGAGGATGCGAGGAGGGG